GTCACTATACGAAACTTGGAACGGCTCATGATCAAATATACGAGCCATCCGCTGTCTACTATATTTAACAATATATGTTTGAATAATGATCTTCTACCCCAATACACACACTCTCCCTTCATATATATATATATATATATATGAATCATAAAAACTTAGATATGAGCCGAGGTGATAAGTCACCCCCGAAGAAGACAAAACTGCGCCACATCGCGTGCCACATCGCGTGCCACACCGCATGCCACACCGCGTGCTATACTGTCTGCCACACCGCGTGCCACACATACGAGTCAGGAGAGTAATAGGAGTAAGTGAAACAAGTTGGCAACACGGAATTACGAGTATTTTTAATGGCTGCTTGCTTGCTTCCTTGCTTTTTTACCTTGATTTATTTAATACAGATATCCAAATATTTTGTACGTAATTCTATGCATTCAACTACATATATTTTTTACATCAGTTTATATTTTCAGGGTGAAGGTACTTTTGTTAAATATATAGTTTGTATACCATAAAATATATAGTTAGTAATTTTATTATGAAATAGCATTTTTATATTTTTTTAGTGTTGCATGGATTGTCATTTTTATATAAATTTTGCTCATTTTATTATAAAAATGTATCGTTGATTTTTGTTTGAAAGCTCATTATTTGCCCATGGTTAGAACCCTAACAGGTGCTACTGCCACAGGTCTGGGTGAAACTTAGAAAAACAGCAGTTACCAGTTGGTTTCATTCTCTTCAAAAGCCCTAATCTTCAGATCAGAGGTACTAATGCCGGATGTAGTTTTTCGTAATAACCAGGAAGACAGTACTTTAAAAATATTGAGAAAAAAAATGACCACGGAGATTTTAAAAAAGGCTACGATATTTTGTTCCGTTCCACCATTTATCATCGCGTCAGAAGATCTTGAATTTTGTGCTATTTCTAATCAGAAATTGATCTCACTGAATATTTTTAAAAGAGTGTAAAGAATATTGTCGTCAAGAAATCTGCAATATTCCCCTGGCAAATATCAGTCTGGTCTGGGAAATGAAGAATCGCAGATATAGAAGCAGGATTTTTTTTTTTTGACACGTCACCAGCTTTAGCTCCAGTAACTCTCCCAAAACTCCAAAAACTAACAAGCAGTTAAATTGTATCGTACGATTTGATACAGTCGATCGCTCACCAAACTGTACCCCGAAGCCAAGTTCTTCGAGTTTATTTTTCAATCTGTGTAAATACTTTTCATAAACGTTATTCTTCGTCGTTTTCCACCATTTTCATCTGCTTCTTTTTTTCCATTTCTTATCTTTTTTTTTTAATCGCAAGGTAATAAAGCCACTATGACACAAGGGTTTAATGGATGTAGAAGTATGAGAAAACAAAATCATTACTAAGACGCGAGATATAAAAGAAGAGTAATCAGGAGAACAGTAGATATCGGTTGACATTGCATTTAAAAATTTGAAGATTTATGTTCACTGGAAAGCACGGGACCAGGAGAGATTTCCACAAGCGAGAAGTGCGAGAAAAATATATGTTATCATGGATCTTACGGTTACATCTCGCCAAATCAATTGTAAATTGCTGAGACCTTGTCTAGTACCGCGCTTAAATTCCTAAAGTCTAGGTACCATGGCGAAGAGCTAATCCGCAGAATTACCATTAAAATATGCATAGAAAAGGCACAGGGAGACAATTTTACAGCGGTGGGAAAATGCCGAGTCACCAGATCAGGACAAATAATATTAATTTTCTATTTTTATTCTACTTCTACGTTTTAATTGACTGGCATTTCTATCAGTGTTTAATTTTGGTAACTTCAGAATTTAATTTGCATGTTAGCCTGTTCCTTTTCCTGATGAACATACATTTTTTACTTATATAGTCCTTTCTTCTCTACGTATTGGGTATGACGATAAACTACATCTGGCAGTAAGACGTCTTATTGGGAGGTTTTGAGGAGTGTGGAACCACATCTGTATTGCTGCAGTTCCTGGGTCTACCCTGTTCTGAGGTTGTAGCACCTGTTAGGGTCCCAGCTGTGGGCAAATACAGAACCCTCAAACTGGGGTCAAAATATGGAGGAATATATAAAAATACTTTTTTATTGTAAAAAAAAATACCTGCAATATATTTTCATAGTAAAATATTATCAAATTGTTGAAATAAAAATGAATATGTTACCAAAGCTCCCATAAAAATTATATTTCGGCATCCAATGACCCACAAGGAGTTGCTATGGCATTAAAGAATCGAAAGCATTCCAAAACAAATCCTTTCTTTTCGCTTTTCTTTTCAATCTTTTCTAGAAAGTTCTGTCGTTAACTTTCTGTGGTCGTTAGCAGCACTGTCATCTATATATCACATGACATACACCCTTGTGCAAAATTATTGAAAGCAACCGCTTTAGTTTCCTTTCTTTCAGCATACAGTCTGGTTTAGACCCACTGGAATGACAGGTTGTAATCGATTTCTATTTTCGCCTCAAATTAGATCATTTGCAGCGGTGTGCAGTAATATGGATCTATTTTCGGGGTCTACGATGAAATTTATTTGACCTTGAAAACTATTGCGTCATCCGTGATTGCATCCGATTTTCATCATGCCCAGATATTATTGTCTCGACTGTCGATTAGCCTGGCCATTGTCTGCGATAGACGCTACTCCACGGAAGCGTACGAAAATTGTAACGCTACACGAACACAATTGAAAACCTTACCAATTAGCAAATCAAAGTACTACAGACTGGCCCGGAAACTTTCCTGATTTAAATTCAATCTAATTTGTGATCAATCTGCAAGGAAAGACTTCGTTAAATGGACATACAAAAGTACAACAATGTTCACTGAGTCATGTTCCATTGAAAAGATACGAAAAAAGTAAATAATAACGGAATTATTCGCCTTGTTTCAATTAATTTGCACAAGGGTGTATATGCAAAACTCTGGGAAGTATTTTAACCTTAAATAGAATATGCGACACAGAAATCCGTAGACGCTTTGGGAAAGCGAAATACGGCTTCCAAAAGCTAAGCAATGAACAAAAAAATATTCCGCTTTAAGCAAAGAAAGAAGTACTGAAGTGTCATGGAATAATCGTTCCACTAATATGACTGTGAATGCTGGACAATCAATTGAGGCAACCGAAATGTGATTCTACAGAAGGACGCTGATGATGCCATGGACATAGGATGTGAGTCACGGCGTAGAAATATTTATTTTTGAATATTTCAATTTCGCTAAGGATATCGAAAAGTATTTATTTATCATCGGATTCAAATTGGTTGATCCCCACCCCACAACCAAATCTGTTGCAATAGCTAGCCCTACCTTTGTAGTTTAGAAACGGATTTTTGTCAGCTTGATGCGGTGGAAACGTTATGGAATATGTAGAAAAATCACGTGGTAGAGATAAACACTCAGTTGTGGAGCAAGCTAAGTGAATAATAATCCAACCTTTAGAAAGAGAGCTATTTATGTTGCCATGGAGCATCTCATTGTGCTAAAGTGGGATAGTCCATTGCTTGGGCTGTGATTGGCTGCTGGTACCTGAGTGGAGGTATTTCTATATAAATACCAGCTTGATTCATCAGTTAAGTCTGCAGGGTTTGTATTAAGTTACAACCTGTTTTATTTTTGTCTGCCAGCTGGACGCTAGCTGGGACCTTTACGCCGGTAAGTGCTGTTTATTATTGTTATTCTACAGAATACTTATGGAATACTTATCCCTCTGATAAGGCTGAAGAATGGATCTACCGAAATAGTTTGTTAAGAACAGCAATAACGCAAAGAAAGTTACCGAGTATAAAATATATAAACATATATATATATATATATATATATATATATGTAAAATTTTTCCTTTATGTAAATAGATATTTTCTATATTTTCACACGCATCCCCACCACATACACAGACACACACGCAGACACACACGCAGACACACACGCAGACACACACACACACACACACACACACACACACACACACATATATATATATATATATATATATATATATATATGTGGGGAGTATCTTATGGATAATTAAATAGAAAGGTAGATAGACATATAAGGAATGATGTGGTTTTGTGTGTGGACGTTGGGATCAAGGCTGCATAGTGACTGTTAGTTTAACGTTTCAATGCCATCTTCAGAATAAATACGTGGAAGTGACAGTCAAAATGTTATGCTGATCTCCATCCCCGTATTGTGTATATCTATAAACTTAATCCCCCCCCCAGACTGAAGTCGATTTCGCTATAAATATAGTAACATTAAAATAGTAAATGAAACTAACGGTGCTTAAGAAGTCAATAGCACATGAAGCCTGCTTAAGGAATGAATATCAAAAAGCTCAGAAATACTAGATTTTTTTGGCATATCTCATTCTCTAATGAAGCATCAATAGAATTAAAATTTTAAGGTTAGATTGATAAACATTTCCAATTTGATCTTTATCTTATCACGCGCACACAACCAATCACACACACACACACATACACATACACACATATATATATTTATATATTGTGATGTCAACGAACACTCCTTGCCACTTTTGTGATGCTCGTTGTAGTAGAGACTTTGTAATCGCAGTTACAACTATATAACGCCGTTCAACAATACTGGTGTCAGAAGCCTTCGAATAGCACTCGTACTAAAAGTAAGAGTAGAGAATAGAGGTCCCTATAGTAATAGAGGATAGAGTAGAAATGATTTATTTAATTCTGTTGTAGTAGAGTAGAAATGGTGATCCATTAGACACACGCCACCTCACATATATGCTTTTTCTTCATGATCACGTGGTGTACTTAATTTAATACTGGGATCTCCTTCGTTTACTCACTGGCGATCTATATTCAAACTAAAGTATCAGCCGTGACACTTTATTCCTATATAACAATCTATATATATATATATATATATATATATATATATATATATATATATATATGTTCTTTTAATATATTCATATCTTTACCAGCGTAACGTTTCGGTTGCTCTATAATATGGTCTTACTCGTCTATATGAAAAGTGTATATGAAAAGAGATGTTCTTTTCTGTTGCTATAGAAACTTTGGAAGACCTTACAATGGATATTTTTAAATGTGGTCTTGGCAAGATAAAGGCACGACGAAAATATTAAAATTCCCAAAAACAACGATGGAATGTTAGTTTTACTTTATTTTCTTTGTCGTTCTTCTCTTTAATTTTTTCTTCTTTCTGCTTTTCTTTCTCTTCTTTTATTTTATTCTTTCTCTCTTTCTTTCTTTCTTTCTTTCTTTCTACGTTTCTTTCTCTCCTTACATTTTTTCACTCCACGCTTTCATTTTTTTTCTTTCTTTCTATTTTTCTTTCTCTTTCATTTTTCGCCCCTCTTTCATTTTTTCTTTTCTTTTCTTTATTTTTCTTTCTCTTTCATTTTTTTTCGCCCACTCTTTTCTTTTTTTTTCTTTTTTTTTCTTCTTTTTCTTTCTTTTCATTTTTTTCGCCCCTCTTTCATTTCTCTTCTCTTTTCTTTTTTTTTTTTCTTTTCATTTTTCGCCCCCCTCTTTCATTTCTTTTTACTCTTTCTATTTTTCTTTCTCTTTTTTTTTTCTTTTTTTCTTTCTATTTTTCTCTTTCTCTTTCATTTTTCTTTTCTTTTTCTTTTTTCTTTTCTATTTTTATTTCTCTTTCATTTTTTTCGCCCCCCCCCCCTTTCATTTTCTTCTTTCTTTCTATTTTTCTTTCTCTTTCATTTTTTCGCCCCTCTTTCATTTCTCTTCTCTCTTTCTATTTTTCTTTCTTTCTTTCATTTTTTTTTCCTCTTTCATTTTTCTTCTTTCTTTCTTTTCTATTTTTTCTTTCTCTTTTCATTTTTTCGCCCCCTCTTTCATTTTTTCTTCTTTCTTTCTTTCTATTTTTCTTTCTCTTTCATTTTTTTCGCCCCCTCTTTTCATTTTTTTTCTTTCTTTCTTTCTATTTTTCTTTCTCTTTCATTTTTTGCCCCTCTTTCATTTTTTTTTTCTTTCTTCCTATTTTCTTTCTCTTTCATTTTTTTCCCCCTTTTTCATTTCTCTTTCTTTCTTTCCTATTTTTTCTTCTCTTTCATTTTTCCCCCTTTTCATTTCTTCTTCTTTCTTTTCTATTTTTCTTTCTCTTTCATTTTTCGCCCTCTTTCATTTTTTTCTTTCTTTCTATTTTTCTTTCTCTTTCATTTTTTCGCCCCTCTTTCATTTTTCTTCTTTCTTTCTATTTTTCTTTCTCTTTCATTTTTTCGCCCCCCTCTTTCATTTTTTCTTCTTTCTTTCTTTTTTATTTTTCTTTCTTTTCATTTTTTCGCCCCTTTTCATTTTTCTTCTTTCTTTCTTTTCTATTTTTCTTTCTCTTTCATTTTTCGCCCCCCCTCTTTCATTTCTCTTCTTTCTTTCTTTTTTATTTTTCTTTTCTCTTTCATTTTTCGCCCCCCTTTTCATTTCTCTTCTTTTTTCTTTTTCTATTTTTCTTCTCTTTCATTTTTTTCGCCCCTCTTTCATTTCTCTTCTTTTCTTTCTTTCTTTCTTTCTTTTTTTTTTTTTCTCTTTCATTTTTTCCCCCTCTTTCATCTTTTCTTCTTTCTTTCTTTCTATTTTTCTTTCTCTTTCATTTTTTCGCCCCCTCTTTCATTTCTCTTCTCTCTTTCTATTATTCTTTATCTTTTTTTTTTTTTCCCCCTCTTTCATTTCTCTTCTTTCTTTCTATTTTTTTTTCTTTCTCTTTCATTTTTCGCCCCTCTTTCATTTCTCTTCTTTCTTTCTTTCTATTATTCTTTATCTTTCATTTTTTCGCCCCCCTCTTTCATTTCTCTTCTTTCTTTCTATTTTTCTTTCTCTTTCATTTTTTCGCCCCCTCTTTCATTTCTCTTCTTTCTTTCTTTCTATTTTTCTTTGTCTTTCATTTTTTCGCCCCTCTTTCGTTTTTCTTCTCTCTTTCTATTTTTCTTCCTCTTTCATTTTTCGCCCCCTCTTTCATTTTTCGCCCCCTCTTTCATTTTTCGCCCCACTCTTTCATTTTTTCTTCTTTCTTTCTATTTTTCTTTCTCTTTCATTTTTTCGCCCCCCCTCTTTCATTTTTTCTTCTTTCTTTCTTTCTATTTTTCTTTCTCTTTCATTTTTTCGCCCCCCTCTTTCATTTTTTCTTCTTTCTTTCTTTCTATTTTTCTTTCTCTTTCATTTTTTGCCCCCTCTTTCATTTTTTGTTCTTTCTTCCTATTTTTCTTTCTCTTTCATTTTTTCGCCCCCCTCTTTCATTTCTCTTCTTTCTTTCTATTTTTCTTTCTCTTTCATTTTTTCTCCCCCTCTTTCATTTCTCTTCTTTCTTTCTTTCTATTTTTCTTTCTCTTTCATTTTTTCGCCCCTCTTTCATTTTTCTTCTTTCTTTCTATTTTTCTTTCTCTTTCATTTTTTCGCCCCCCTCTTTCATTTTTTCTTCTTTCTTTCTTTCTATTTTTCTTTCTCTTTCATTTTTTCGCCCCCCTCTTTCATCTTTTCTTCTTTCTTTTCTTTCTATTTTCTTTTTCTCTTTTCATTTTTCGCCCCCTTTTCATTTCTCTTCTCTCTTTCTATTTTTCTTTCTCTTTCATTTTTTCGCCCCCCTCTTTCATTTCTCTTCTTTCTTTCTTTCTATTTTTCTTTCTCTTTCATTTTTTCGCCCCCTCTTTCATTTCTCTTCTTTCTTTCTTTCTATTTTTATTTCTCTTTCATTTTTTCGCCCCCTCTTTCATTTCTCTTCTTTCTTTCTTTCTTTCTATTTTTCTTTCTCTTTCATTTTTTCGCCCCCCTCTTTCATCTTTTCTTCTTTCTTTCTTTCTATTTTTCTTTCTCTTTCATTTTTTCGCCCCCTCTTTCATTTCTCTTCTCTCTTTCTATTATTCTTTATCTTTCATTTTTTCGCCCCCCTCTTTCATTTCTCTTCTTTCTTTCTATTTTTCTTTCTTTTCATTTTTTTTTTTTTTTTTTTTTTCATTTTTTTTTCCCCCCTTTTCATTTCTCTTCTTTCTTTCTTTCTATTTTTCTTTGTCTTTCATTTTTCGCCCCTTTTCGTTTTTTTCTCTCTTTCTATTTTCTTCCTCTTTCATTTTTTTTCCTTTTCATTTTTTCGCCCCTCTTCCATTTTTCGCCCCTCTTTTCATTTTTTCTTCTTTATTTCTATTTTTTATTCTCTTTCACTCTTTTCGCCCCCCTCTTTCATTTTTTCTTCTTTCTTTCTATTTTTCTTTCTCTTTCATTTTTTCGCCCCCTTTTTCATTTTTGTTCTTTCTTCCTATTTTTCTTTCTCTTTCATTTTTTCGCCCCTCTTTCATTTTTTGTTCTTTCTTCCTATTTTTCTTTCTCTTTCATTTTTTGCCCCCTCTTTCATTTTTTGTTCTTTCTTCCTATTTTCTTTTCTTTTCATTTTTTGCCCCCTCTTTTCATTTTTTTGTTCTTTCTTCCTATTTTTCTTTCTCTTTCATTTTTTCGCCCCCCTCTTTCATTTTTTGTTCTTTCTTCCTATTTTTTTTCTCTTTTCATTTTTTTCGCCCCACTCTTTCATTTTTTTTTTCTTTCTTCCTATTTTTCTTTCTCTTTCATTTTTTTCGCCTCACTCTTTCATTTTTTGTTCTTTCTTCCTATTTTTCTTTCTCTTTCATTTTTTTCGCCCCACTCTTTCATTTTTTGTTCTTTCTTCCTATTTTTCTTTCTCTTTCATTTTTTTCGCCCCACTCTTTCATTGTTCTCCTCTCTTTGGGATACTTCTCCCTTTTCATCAATTTTCTCTCTTATTTTAAGTCTTTTCCGTTGTTATCTTATTTTTTTTTTTTTTATCCCATTTCATCTCCAACAATTTTTTATTGTTTTTTATTTTCTACAATGTCTTTCCTTTCTTTATTTCTGTTTTTCTGACAGTTACGCCTTTTTTCCCCCCGAAAAACCATTTCCTTCTATGCCATCCATTTGTTGGGCAGATGCGCTAGTTTATATGACTTGCACTCAACCACACTCTCAGAAAACCTCGCGTATCCAAATAAAAATGCTACCGCACTGTCACTTTTTTATGTACTGTGGTATTTCTTTTCATACATCCACGTTTTACGAGAAGTTATTACAGAAATCCAATAACAAAATATGACAGAAATGAGGCCACCTACCACTGTTATTATAGAATCATTCCTACGCACTTTGATGAATGACAAGATTGTATTTATAAACCCACATTCGACAGGTGACATAGAAAAATAGATTTATTAAATAATAGAAATGTCTGTATCTATTTTTATTTCTTCATCGATAGTATTGACAGTGCGATTAAGAATATGGATTATAAACATAATCTATAGTCTGATATTTTTGTGGGTTTATTGGTAGTATAATGTGGGGTCGTGAAGCAGGGTTCAAATCGTGGGGTTGTCGGCTGTATTCCTTTTCTCAAGGGAACGTATTTAATCTATCTTCTCTCACGTGTTAAACAGCAGGGTAACCTTTTCTTCGTTTACGATTACAAGATTTAAGATTCTGGCCTAGTTTTGATGAACTTAAATGTCGAAGACATGTGAATTTTGACGTTATGCAGATGACACAGTGTTGTTAGCAGACACGGAAAGGAAACTACAAGAATGTATTTAAGAATATAGTTTAGGAAAATAGAGAAAAAATGAATAAACGCCAATTTCAAGAAGAAAGAATGCAGAGCGTTTAGCAAAAGGAACAGCCCAATATGCAAATTATAAATTGGTGTTACCGAAATACAAGAAGTTTAACAATCTGGAAATTGTTTTAACAGAGGACGGAAAATGTGGCACTGAAATCCTAAGACTCATTGCGATAGCGAAAGGTGCCTTCCAAAAGCTAAGCAGAGTATTAAGAAACCGAAATTTTTCGTTAGAAACAAATAAATGAATACTGAAAGATGAAGAAGAAACTTTAAGCAACAGAAATGTGGTTCTGCAGAAGGATGTTGTGGATGAAATGAACCAAATATTTGAGCAAAGAGAAAGTTTTGAAACAATGAAAACAAAAAGGAATATTATACATAACATCAGAAAGAGAACAGTTGAAATTTCTAGGGCAAGTAATGAGGAAAGAGGGCTTGGGAAATCTGATACTCACAGGATAGCAGATTAAAAGCAAGAGGGACAAAGGAAAACAACGCACTACCTACTTAGTGACACGGAGTTACCGGATGAAAATTGATATCCTCCTAGTAACAATTGGGTAACACACTTATATCACAGAAGTTGAGGTAGAAAAATTTAATATAGTTGAGCATACCTTTATATCTTTACCTTGTCTGGGTATCTGAAAAGTATATGATAACATCTTTTCAGATATAACATAAATTATTAATATAAAAAATGTGCTCCATAGCCTTCGTTGGCAAACAGTCTAAGAGAAGAAAACTCTGGATGCAAAACCTTTGAAAAGTCAAAGAGAAAGCACAAGAATATGTGCCATGTCAGATATAATAACAGAAATTAATCTATGCGTTTCTCAACCTTTTTCTTAACTTCAAGGCCTAGTTTTAGAATAACTAAAATTCTGAACGTGATTAAAATTTTTAATAAGGATAAAATGGTCATGGAAATAGGAAAGTTTGGTTTAATATTTCCCAAAAAGATTAGCGGTCAGTTTTCGTTTAAAGGGATTTAGAGAGGGCCTATAATGAGTGATTTAAATCCATTAGGGGAGGCAAAAAAAGAAATGGATTATCCATCCCTTCTTAAAGATTAAAGCCTTTATCATCCAGTTTAAAATATCAGCTGAAGAAATCTTCAGATAGAAACAGAAGACGTATACTTGTTCCTTCTAGCTTTTTTTTAAAAATAATAAAAAAATTCTTACACACACACCCACCCACACACATACACACACACACACACATATATATATATATATATATATATATATATGTGTGTGTGTGTGTGTGTAAGCAAATGTAAATGGATATAGATCCGACAGAATGAAGAAAAATTTGGAAAAACAAACAAAAATCCTTAAATGCAATTATGTTGTTTAAAATGAATGAAATGTCGACGTCTTTGTCAAATTGAACTGAATTGTATTTTAATGAATATTGTCCTGAAGAAGGTTTATTAAACCGAAACGTCAGACATCGACATTTCATTCATTTTAAACAACATAATTGCATTTAAGGATTTTTGTTTGTTTTTTCCAAATTTTTCTTCATATATATATATATATGTATATATTACGGCTAATAATGCACGTCTCTTCGGTAAATCTAATCGAGATCTCTCAGTCATTGTGTGTTTATCTAAAAATAAATACGCTTAGATTCACATTCATGTCAACTGCTGAGTGGTAGAATCCTCGAATGATGACAATTCAGTCAAGTTTCGATCCTAGCTAAAGGCAACCGGACGTCTAGCTACACTGATGAGCTGCGATACAGCGAAAAAGTTTGTCTGTGGATGACAATATATATATATATATATATATATATATATATATTAATCGATTTCACCCCCAGCAAAGCAGAAAAGACAGTGAGGTTACTGGGTGTTGAAAAGTTAAAAGTTGCATTTAAATCGTTGCAGATTAATGATGGCTGGAAAACATGGAACTGAAGGGATTTCCAGATGCGAGAGAAGAAACTGCTAGCATAGAACTTACGGTTACATCTAGCCAGTTCCACTTTAAATGCGTGAGACCGTGTTCCATTTCTAGTACTGCGCTTAAATTAGTAGAGTCTAGGTACTAGTGTATAGAGCTCATCCGAACAATTACGATGAAAGTATTTATAGGAAAGGTAAAAGGAGGCAACCTTACGGCGGTAGGAAAGTGACTGAAGCTGAGATACCAGATCGAGACCAAAAATATTGCTGATTCTTCTTCGGATTTTATCAAGCATCTCTAGATAGATAGCAGTCGCACTGGATTATGTGCGTAAAGATGAAGAAAAGGAATGAAAGATCGGCATACGCTCATTGTTATCGGCACTTCCCATCGGGCAGTTTTTGGAAAATACGTTAATGAGTCATTCAAATGTCTTTTCAGTCCGCAAGACGATGTTTCCCAACCGGTAGGCTCGCGCGCGGCAATTTTCTAAGCATTGCCGAATGTTAGGCATAGATATGTAAGACTAGCAGGACACCGTAAACAAAACATCTTGGCAGCTGACCAAACAATGGATTCGATATAGTCTTTACACTTCATGTGAGCCGAAAATGTTAGCCCAAGAAGGCACATCGTGTCAGTCTCCTGAAAATGACCATCAGCCATGATGGAAGGCAGAGTTGATTCTATCAGATGTTTAATAGAGAGCAGTTTACTTTTAGAAGCGTAAAAATGAACAAAAAAAGAAGCCCTCTTTTGCCCCAGTTAACAACAGACTGAATGTCGTTTCGGATATCAGCTGCCATTTTGAGCTTTTCAAACTGATCAAACTTACTATCGAGACAAAATTAAATGGCTGTGTCTTCAGCGACGATACCAAGTTGTTAGCTGATACCACCAGGAATGTCAATATAATAATAATTTATAAATTACCCTTCCGTTCAACTTGGGACCCACCTTGCTACCTTTCAGTGCGCGTTCGTGCGCCCGGGCCTACCGGTTGGGAAACGTCGTCCTGCGAACTGAAAAGATATTTGGAAGACTCATTAACGTATTTTCCAAAAACCGCCCGATGTGAAGTGCTGATAACTATGAGCGTATGCCATTCTTTCATCCCTTTTATTCATCATTACACACACAGAAAAACAGATTCGACTCGAAGATGAGAATGAGAGATACCTTCGAATGTGTGCTCCTGTTTCAAAGGAGGAAATAGCAGATTTAATTATCGAGATCTCTTTGTATTGGATTAATATTTGCAGTCAAGTGATCGTTGGCATGAAAGAAACGTTGCGCTCGTTTTGGAACTGGACAGTAGCTGGAGAAATTATTATTGATTGGTCCAGGTTCTCAATGGACAACAACAAACTGACCGCTGCTATTCCTTCGTGGACGAGATAATGTCCGCTTGTCAACTTCGTTAAATTTGGTCAACGGTTAAGTGAAAAGAATGTGGGAACTCATCGATATCCGACGAAATTAGTTGTCATTTAAAAGCAAGTTCCTCACAGTTTAAAATTATTTTTTTTTAAAGATGATAAAAAAAAAAAAAAAACGGCGATATATTTATTCTTCCTCTGCATTAAATAAGGATGTGCAACGGTGTAATGGTGTTGTGAAGTAAATAACAAACGCCCGATAACACAAATGGACTTGGTAAGGGGCCTTAAATACTGAACTCCGAGGGAGTTATGGAAGTTCGGCGCAGTCTGTTTCAGGCTCGCGTCAAGGCAAGACAAGAAATATCCTCTGTCTTCGGGTAATGGATGACTCGGGCTCTATCTTCGGATAGAGATTCGGCTGAGAAAAACAGACAAGTTCTGTACCCAAGACCGCTTTGGTGGGGGGTGGGTAAATTTTGACCAGTGACCTGGGTGGAATCGCTCGGGTTCCCCCACAGTAAACTTGACCTTGTGTTGCATCTAGTCGACAGTAGTGCGACCGGTAAATACCAGTCCGTTGGAGTAAGTCCAAGGCTAACGATAAGACAGGACCTCCGTCTTCAGGCTGGAAATGACCATGTCACGGTTTTGTCTTCGGGTAGAGATTCAGCTGAGAAAAACAGACAAGTTGATGTCAGGCAGTTCGCTGTCTGGCTCATAACGGACAAGACCTTGCTCTTTGGGCAGAGAGTGACTCCACCGGGCTCTGTCTTCGGTTAGAGATTCAGCTGAGAAAAACAGATAAGCTGTTGTCCGGCAGTTCGCTGTCTGGCTCATAATAGACAAGACCTCGCTCTTTGGACAGAGGGTGACTCCGTCTGGCTCTGTTTTCGGATAGAGACTCGGCTGAGAAAAACAGTCTGGAGGTGGGGGGTCTGCGTACAATTTGACCAGTAGCCCAGGTGGAAACGCTCGGGTTCCCCACAGTAAACTTGACCTTGTGTTGCATCTATCCGCAGTAGGCCGACCTATAAATACCAGTCCGTCGGAGTAAGCCCAAAGTTCAACGTTGAGTTTAAGCAAGCGAATGAGCCAATTGGAGTAAAGTGTCATGCAGATTTAAATTTTCCCCACTTGTGACGAATGCAGCTATCAATTTTTTCTGCATGCTAGC